TGGTGTCATCCGCAAACTTGCTGAGGGTGCACTTGATCTCACTGTCTAAGTCATTGATGAAAACATTAAACAGCACCAGTCCCAGTACGGACCCTTGAGGGACACAACTTGTCACCGGTCTCCATCCAGACATCGAGCCATTGACCACTACCCTCTGGACGCGACCATCCAGCCAGTTCCTTATCCACCAAACAGTCCACCCATCAAATCCATAGCTCTCCAATTTAGAGAGAAGGATGTTGTGGGGGACCGTGTCAAAGGCTTTGCAGAAGTCCAGATAGATGACATCTGTTGGTTTTCCCTTGTCCACTGATGCCATCACACCATCATAGAAAGCCACTAGGTTCATCAGGCAGGACTTGCCCTTGGTGAAGCCATGCTGGCTATCTCGAATTACCTCCCTGGCCTCCATGTGCTTTAGCATAGCTTCTAGGAGGATCTGTTCCATGATCTTCCCAGGCACAGAGGTGAGGCTGACAGGTCGATAGTTCCCAGGGTCTTCCTTTCTACCCTTTTTGAAAATGGGTACAATGTTTCCCTTTTTCCAATCACCAGGGACTTCACCTGACTGCCATGACTTTTCAAATATCATGGAGAGGGGCTTGGCGACTACATCGGCCAATTCCCTCAGGACTCTGGGATGCATCTCATCAGGTCCCATGGACTTATGTGCATTCAGGTTCCTCAGTGACGCTACTGTGGACCAACTTTCTTTGACAAAGTCTAGTTTTCTGTAGCTTCTGTTGCTCTTAAGAAAGTGAATAAAAAAAACTGGCTGGACACAATTTGCTTTCAGGGTAGCAGCTGCTAACACAATATAGAAAGCCTGTGAGACTGGACTTCATCAACAGTCTCATACTTCTCAGCAGCTCTCAAGACTGCTCGCTGTCAAGCTCTACTGGCCTGACACAACACCTATAAATACTATGCTTGTAACTCTTCCAAGACAGCAAGAACAAATGCCTCTTTCTGGATGGAAAACATTCAGCCCTTCCTGTTCAACAGCAATCAGCAGAGTAGCACAATATCCTCCTCTTTGTCAGGAGCCGCTTGTTATCCTGCACTGGTCTACTTGATGCCATATTTTCTCTATGCACCACATTTTCTGTACTCATTAGCGGGAAGGCTTGACTAATGAAGGTTACAAAGTAGATGTCTTCAGAGGTCACCTTGCAATATGGAAGTTACCTCAAAAAATACTACATAACTACCTGGGATATGAACTAGCAGTTTTAGGGAGTCTGCTTCAGAATACATGTACAAGCTCATTAGCAGACACATTTCTAATCTCTTGATTTAGGAGGGCAATGCACACCTTTCCTTCAAGATCTACTGTTTTTTAGGATCTTTCACAAGATAAGGCAGGTACTGAGCCTCTTTGCTGTAGCATGGCTGTTGCAATTCAGGTATATGGACCTCCTCAGCGCAACAATGAGGTATCAAGGTTGCCCATGTTCCTGAGCATTCTTATGCAGAGCTCAGAGACTAACCTCTATCTCTGTAGTTGATCACTAAGCCACCCCTGTTCATCCCTGATTACGAACAGTAAGAAAAATTTGACTAAGAGAACCTACCTTGCTAAGCAAACTGTCTTCATGATGTTCAGAAAGAGCCCTTAGACTTTTGGATATCTCAGTTCTCATTCTCATAATTATATAGGGGAATAAAATCATAGAATGCTTTGGGTTGGAAGGGACATTTAGAGGTCATCTAGTCCAACACCCCTGCAGTGAGCAAGGACATAATACATAGGTAGATACCTATCTATTTGTTCAGTCACCCTGTAATAACCTTGTCTCCCTACTTCTCCATCATGAAGAGTTCCTTTTTTTTATATATATATATGTGTGTAAAAACATCTGTAGTATGCCATGGGGTGGCAAAATATGTGTATATATATGGTTAGTTTTGTGTTTTTTGGAGATCTGGTTAATATTCCCCCCTGGAAAAGTAGCCTACCCACCCAAGATGACTCTCAATTTCGTGTTCATAGCTTTGATGAATTAACCATTTAAGCTGACAGCAACCCATTTGCTTCTTTGCCCTTCCGCCAGGCTTTCTGATGGCTTCCACCTTTAGTAGGAAAGCAGGGGGAAATTCAGGTGCTAACAATGTCTTTTACAATTGTTGTCTCTTCAGTTAGACTCTTCCTCCAGATCATTCCAATATATGCCCAGGAAGTTGAGTTTAAGAAATTTTATTTTTTCTTGAGGTTTCATACTTCTTACATGAATGCTTCCCTTCCATGCACTTGGGACCAACCTATTCTGTTTCCACAGCTATTTGTGTCATCCTCCAGCAGCTACGAACAAGCCAAAGAGCAAATCTTTGCCAGGACCTAGAGGGAAGACTGCTATGCTGAAGCCATAACTAGCGATGAAAACAGACTACTAGAACTCAAGCTGCACTAAGAGCCTCATTACATATACTCCCTGTTCACAGCACTAGCAAAGTCACATTGAACTTCATTCCTAAACTTAGACAGCACTAAGTCATCACAGAGGCATCCAAAAATGATGCTGTATTAGACAGAGCAATCCTATATTCACCTACAATGAATGACTCAACTAGGTAACTAGCAAATACATGTTTAGGGATATTGTTTGGAATCGTCCACAGAACAGAGGTGGATTATTATCAGAGGGAAGAAAAAGGGAAGAAAAAAAAGAAAGAAAATTACTACAGGAAATAATTAAATTTCTCCTTTCCTCTTCCCTTTCTTCACAAAACTCTTTACCTCTTAGGAGCTCTTTAGCTCTCTGACACAACGTGGAATCAAGGGATATATAATACTCACTATCCTATCTGCACAGCAGACCTAAGGGTGAGGCTGGGTATATGAGTGCTTTGCAGATCTTAATTAGATAAGATCTTCAGATCTTCAATTCCAGCATTTTAAGCACGCCCTCAGCATGAATGTATACGAAGAAAGCACATCTCAAAAATGGCCAGTTCGTGATAGATAGCTTTCTTTAGCGTCAGTGTTCATTAGAATGAGACAGAAGAACAAACGCAGATATTACCATTAGAAATGCATTTCATTCCTATCATCACAGTGATTTTGAAGTTGTACCTACCAAAAGAAAAACTTTGCTGTCAGGCTTGACTTTGTGTTTCTCCATGTATTTTATGAGGCTACTATTGGCATATCTGAAAAATACAGTTAAAGACATTTCTGAAATAATACAGCATTAAGAATATGGAAGTGTACTAAATGATCACAAAAACATTTACCAGCCCTTAATAAGTAAACCATAAAAAGAACTGCTATCAGAAAGCATGTCAGATATTCATCTAGTAGTTGCACACATAAAGTGTGCTTTTCACTAACAGAAGCAGTATCAACTGTGTACAGATTATTTCCATGGAACATGCAGCTTTTACAGTGTATGGATAAGCTGTTGACATGGGCATACGACAGAGAAATTCAACCTGAAATTTATACTTATGGATAAGCTGTTGACATGGGCATACGACAGAAATTCAACATGAAATTTATACTAGTTTTCTAAAGCAACTCTGCCACAGAAAGTGTACAGCCATTCGTAACAGCGCAACAGCTAATCTATTAACGTTGTTTCCAGCTGCAATTTGGCAGAGCAGCTAGTATACCATTCTGTCTCCCTGGCCCCAACCTGCAGCAAACCATACAGTCCTGATAGCTCCCAAGCTCAAAAATGCCCCAAATATGTATGACCTGTTCCTTGGCTTTAATCTACAAATCCAGAGGTTATCTATAGCTGTTTTCAAAAGAAAGAGGCTTCGTGCACAGATAAGCTTCATATCTTGTCTAAAGCCAGCATAATGAATCCACAGCAGAGCTGGAAACAGAATCCAAAACTCCTGGATCTATGTCCTCTGCCTTGCAACAGAGTCTGTGTTGCTCCTTACACCTTCTGATCTATTGCCACCACTTGACTAATTTAGCCAAAGCACCAGGAAACACTAGAAGTGGAAAATTCTCACATCCCAGATAGGCTTTGCATCACAACCTATTGAACATGTTACCTTCCACAGCAATTTCTGTCCACTACTTTACTGCCTCCGTATATCTGCTGGTCAAAAGGCCCAAGAAGGTGCTTCCCTACTCTTTCTTACACAAAATGAATGCAGTTATCTTGAACAGCTAACACAAGTGGTTTAAGCAAGCTCATTTGTCTGTGCCTGCCATAGATTAAGTGGCACTTGTGATGACCCCTTCTAGAAAAAATGAGGAGGCAACTCAGTTGATGCTTTTAACAAGCAGCTGAGGGAGAGAACATCATTCAAGCAGAACAGCTAGTTCAAACAGGACAGCCGTCACAGCGTTAGAACCCAAACACTCCAAAATCCCCTCCACAGAAAGTCAGAGGATAGGAGCCAATTTCTGCTTATCTGCTACATTCATGGAACTGTTGTTGCGTTATCATCACTTACGTTGTTCTCCTAAAATCCTTCTGAAGAGTTGGATATTCTGGCATCTTCCTTATGTCTTCCCAATCTTTATCTTTGGTGGGGGGAAAAAAGGAGAAGCATTTACAGTTCTGAAAGTGCAGGTTAAGTAATACATGAGAATAAATAACTACAGCAGTTTTTGAGTTCCTGTTTGTTGGCCAGTGCTATTGTTTCACAGTTGTCAGCGTTTCCAAATCCATCAAACAGACAGCTTCTTCGTATCTATACAAACAACTAGTCATTTCCTTTAGAAGAAAAATCAACTCAGTAGCATTAGGTCTGACATGTTAATGAAAATAAATTACCTGCAGGGAATCCCATTACACTGAAAATGCGATCTAGCTGATCGTGATGAAAAGGATTACTTGTTTTGATGTCCTCCTGACGACAGTGAAATATAGGTTCTGAAGTCAATAGTTCAGCAAATATGCAGCCAATTGCCCAAATATCTAAGAAAGAAGGAGGATAATTCATGCAAATTTACTGTACTTCATCACTCCAGTTTTTGTTTCTGCACAATTTCTCAACAACCTGTATAACCACAGTAAGATAAAATGCCTCACAGCATAATTGCATACTGTACTTTAAAAATAATGCATTAATATATTACATTATAATACATTAAAAAGGATAAAATCTGGAGACATAGGGGTTTTTAAATCAAAATGGCAGTCTCCAAATTCTGATTCAAGTTGTACACTGGCAGTCCAGCACTTTATGTATTCACAATTATGGCAGAAACCTACACAGTATTTTCTGACAACATAGCTTAAAGGGCATTCAACTGACCATCAAAGCTAAACCGTAAATCCCCCATAAAGATACTTTGAAATAGAAGTTCTATCACATATTTCAGAACAATTCCAAACACGTAATTGATAACCAAATAAATTCTAAGAAGGAAAAGACTAATGACTCATATGGTTAGCCAAATAGCGCAAGCCAGTTAAAATAGAGAAAGAAGATCCTAATTTTAATTAAGAGTAGAAGAGTCGTTACCAAAAAAAAGTGGTCCTACTTGACAACTGACTCCTACCGGAACAATACTGGAACTGTCTCATCTACATCTTGTGTACATACAGAAAACAGCAGCATGATACACTGATGTTTTAATGAAAGAAAAGAACAACCTCTATTTCATAAATTTCTCATTAATATGTTTTTCAACATTAGATCTACCGTGAACAAGAACATTAGTTTCATTTACAGGCAAAGAAATTTCTAGATGACATGTATTCATTCTAGTTACTACTATCACCACCCACCTTAGTGTTCTGTACAACCTGAATGCTTTATTATGCATCTTAAAAGGAAAGTGAGAATTTGTCAGCGAGAAGGTTACTAGGAGAAAAGAAATGGACTTGCCACACTGACAAATACATATCTGGGATATAACTCTGGAAAAAGATGTTGAGATCAGATGAATGACGAGCATAGATTGCTGAATACAAGAGTGTGGAGACTTGCTTAGTAGTTGAGGTTAAACTAGATGACCCTCCCCAAGGGAGGGAAACCTTTGGATTTTATCAAATTTAATAGCATAAATACAGAAAACAATTTACCTTTAATTTATAGGTAATTTTTTATCTCTTAGACCTAACTGGAGCTTGGTATATTAGATTCAGACTAAAGTGAACACCAAGAGAAGTCTCTTGTTCATTGCAACTAATCTGAGACTCAAAGCCCCACCTGCTGTCAATGGGGGCATTTGGCCCGTGCCACCTGAGACACACATGGGCTCCTGAAGAAAGAAAAAAAAGCACTGCTCTCTTCATGCAGGAAAGGAAAAAGCGCGCCATCACGCTCTCTTTGCCAAAACAGGTCAGTTCCATTTCTACCATGTTACAGGTGTGGAGCTTGGGGTGTCCCAATTCAGAAGCTTTTCTCTCTTTCCTTTACGGGAAAGTTTGGTAACATTTTGTTCAGACTTCACAGTTGCGACAGGGTATGACTTGCTCTGTGGATTACATCACTTTCTCAGGGTTTTATCCTCCTTTGATTTTCTTATTAGCATGAAAACAAGATCTTTAGCTCTCGAGATGTTATCTGCTCAAGCAGCTAATGCAGCATATTAATCACAATTCCTGCCTGGGTAGTAGGCATAAATTATCTACTCCAGAATGGAAATTACTTATTATTTGTAGAATAGCATCTTAATTTAACAGTATCTATTCACTCATTTTCATACTAGATAGCAAATCCTTTCAGAGATGGTTTATCTAGAGGCCAAAGGAGTTGCAGCCCTCTTGGTTTTCACAGCTTTCTGCAGTGCTTGCCGTCCATCACATGGTGAGGGAGAGGCTGGGCCACTGCTCATTATTCTATTCCCTACTGCTCTATCCAGACCAAGCTTTTCCTTTTAAAGAAGAAAAAAAAAATAAAAAAATAAAAAAATAAAAAAAATTCTAGTATTCTTGTTGACAGCAAAGCTGAACTGGGAAATCTCCCTGATGTGACACAGCAAACTTCAAAACTGTTCCTTCACCGGCTGAACAGTGTGAGAGCAGAGCCACTGTGGCAACGCATTCCCGTTTCCCGACTCGGTGATTAATAGAGAGAGCACATTTTAAACCCTTTGAGAATTCAGAAAGACATTGTACCAAGTGGAAGTTACAACTCAATGAACACTGGCAACTCCCAGGCTGGTGGTGTATTTTCTATGGGCTGGCATTACTGGGCAAGTCAAGCATGAGAATACTTTAGCTCTGGTCATTAGAGTCTCAAATAGTTCATAGTGCTGGGGTTCAACCCTTTAGGTTTCTTGCCAGATACTCTTAAGCTTCAAAGAGCTAATATAAAATAACCCAAAATATTTAGTACCAAAAACCTGAAGCTTTAATTTCCGTAAGTGAAGATTAAACAGCTGGAAAAGGACTTATAGCCACACAGCTCCAGCAGGTCAGGGGCTTCCTCTCATGAATCAAACTTTTTTTGTAACCTGATCTCCAACACATCCTTGGCACATATTGAAACCATTCTCACAGTTAATGATTTTCTGTCAAGTTTGGCTAGTCCCTTTTTTTATTTAAATTACATTCATAATTTACAGTAATTATTTACCACATGTGGCATTTTTCTAGCAGGAACGCCTCGTTACATTCTGGCAAGTTTAAAAGCTTCATCAATACAAGCAGTCCTAATAGGTATTTATCTCCTACATTGTTCATATTAGACAACCAAATACAAACTTCAGCTCTAACTATGGAAAAATATGTCAATAATTAGCAATTTCCCTATCTGGTGCCACTTCATATGTTTTCAGTTTGTGGTCCCTAAAAAAGACTAATGATTATTACATCTATTCCAAATAAGAAGTACTGCCCCTCAGAAGCGGGCATTTACAGGGGCAAAGCTTAAAACATATAAGCAGTATTTTTCAGCTACAGTGCATTATTAACCTAGTGCACATCAGCCTCTAGCACAAAAGGAACTTCTTGTAATACTGTATAACCGTTTCATTATAAATAAAATTTCTGTTCAAAAGCAACCACCAAAAGTAAGAGGCAAACTACAGATAGTATCCATTTTAACTTGTTACATACCAGAACCACCGAAAACAGGGCCATATAGGTCCTGCAAGGTTGCATTGGATACTAAGTGTTTTCCCATCCCATGTCCCGGGAAGATCCTAATAAGTATACCAGAGTGATACAACCATTCCTACAAGGATGGTTCTGTTTCCTCCACTTTCCTCCACTATCATTAGGTTTCAGGAACGATCTGTGGTAAAAGCTTTTACTGTTCAGGTTTTTTGTTTTGGTCATGCCCGTCTCCTCCCCCCCTTGCCCTCCAAGACTTCCAGACTCCCCACTTTCCCCAAGTTTACACTGAACCCGAGTGCAAGCCAATTTTGCTCCCTGGTTCTGGAAGGAGGTGTGGGAGTGAAGGCTTTCATAGTACACTTCTTTCTCCTGACTCCTCACCAAACAGCTTGCTTCCATTCAAACCTATTCACCACTGAAACATCCTTCCACCGTAACAATATTTCTCAAGTACTACATAGTAAGTTTACAAAAGGAAAAAAATATCTTGTTAAAGATGGTCATTTGCAGTTAGTAAACAGACCTTCCATATATACACCTGGGTGCACAGATCATTAGAGTATTTGTATGGCCGTCCATGTCCCAGTTTTAAAACCTGTGACTCTAGCAGTTTATAGGTCAGCTACTAAAGCTGACAAAATCCTGCGTGTCCCTCTTTAGTTCTGTAGCCAAGGAACAAGTACAAAAGGATGCTGACGTAGCTATTTTAATGATAGGGCTGATTAAGCAGACAAATGCTCATGTATTCTTTCCTTTCTATGGCACAATAATGTCAATTCTGTGTTTGTTCCAATATTTTGGAAACATTCTTTAAGAATATTATGACAATTTAAGACAATAAGACAATTTATTGAGCAATAGCCTTGATTCTCAAAATGAAACATCTTTTCCCATGCATATTAACTACAATGTTTCATTGAAGACAGGACAGAGTCCAAGATGAAATACTTTATGCTTCTTAATTATATCCAGGAAAACAAATAGATAAACAAGCTCTTAGTCTCGTATAATTCTTTAATAAAATTCTGTTAAAGAAAGTAAGTTAAGAATGGGAAAACGTCTATTTAGTTGCAATCAATCTGTGGAATTCATCATTAGTGAATTTGGTCTAGCAGCTTCAACCAACCGCTTTTTTCTGTTTCGGTTTGAACACAAAGTCTAGGCTCTAGGACATGTCTGAATGCTGGTAAAGGAAGCAAAGAGTGGATGGATGGTAAAATACAGCTTCTCTACATCCACCAAGGGCTAATACAAGAACGAGGGTACCCAAAAGCTAGTTAGCACTGCCTTAGCTCAAAAAAGGCAATCCAGGTCACCTATAAAGCACTACAATGTTTATATAAGATTCACCACATCTTTCAAATCATAGAATCATTTAGGTTGGAAAAGACCTTTAAGATCATCAAAGTCCAACCGTAAATCTAACGCTGCCAAGTCCACCATTAAACCACGCCCCTTAGTACTACATCTACACATCTTTTAAATACCTCCAGGGATGGGGACTGAACCACTTCCCTGTGCAACCCATTCCAATGCTTCGCAGGCCTTTCAGTGAAGAAATTTTTCCTAATGTCCAATCTAAACCTCCACTGGTGAAAATCAAGGCAAGGACAACAAATATGCCAACATACTCAAAAGCCGAAAGGTGGTTCTGCAACAGAACATGTCTGGTTTTTTTCAAATAAATGTCAGTTGATCTAATGAAAAGGTATAACCTCTTTACAAAAAAAACCCCTTGCCTCTGATGCTGAGCACAGCAGCAGATTCTAAACTTATCTGGAATCTTTATACACAGTGACCTAGGAGCATAGAGATCACAGAATGGCAAGGGTTGGAAGGACCTCCAGAGATCATCCAGTCCAACCCTCCTGCTAAAGCAGGTTCACCTAGAGCAGGTTCAGGACATC